AAAAAAAAAAAAAAAAAAATCAGAGTACCAGGTAAGGAAGGTACCTCTGCAAGTGAACTGTAACTGGATACCATATTAAGTCCAAATATGAGTACTGTTTGCTATGATTTGCTATTTTATATACAATCTCAGGAAACACTCATATATATATAGGTTCCAGGAGTGTCATTTACAGATGTGGGCGATTTCTGTAGCCTTGAAAACCCCTCCACCTTTCTGTCAATGCAATTACTCGGGTGGAAGGTAAGATGTGTGCTATGGCTTTCCCACATGCATACGCCGATGTTTGATGGGGAACAGCTAAGTCCGAAGGAGTCTCCACCTTCAGTTTCCTTCCAGGCTGAGTTGTCTGATGTTCAAAGTCAGGTGTGTATACGCCAAGGGAAGCCTCCTTCCGACATCATCGTGGGTTGGTTCCAATTCTCTGTAGTTTAGTAAGGGTCCAGTCCTAGTGAAGGTTTTCCAACCTTGACGCCCGAGTCCTCAGCCGGTGTGGGTGTTCTGGTGCCGGGCCAGGGCCAGGCGGTCGGTGAAGACCTGCCCACAGACGTCACACTTGAAGTACTTGTCATCAGCCCTGCCGCTGTCACTGCTGCTGGTGCTGGCGTGCTCGGTGTAGTGGGAGCTTTCCCCGTAGACGCTTCCAGGCTCAAATATTAGCACCCTGGCATGGGTTTTCAGGTGCTCACCGTAGGCCGAGTTGGAGGTGAAGGTCTCGCCACACTCCCTGCAGTCGTAGTAGGGCTCTTCCACTTGGATCTCCTGGTCGTCACCTTCCTCTTCTGGGTCCTCGATCCCTGCACCGTCTGGCTCATCCGCGTCTCCCTCTGGCTCTTCGGCTCTTTCCTCTGGGTCTTCGATCCCTGCCCCATCCGGTTCATCAGCATCCCCGTTGGGCTGTTCTGCCTCCCCGTTGGGCTGTTCTGCCTCCCCGTTGGGCTCAGCGGCCTCCCCCTCCGGCCCCTCGGCCTCTCCGTTGGGTTCGGCGGCCTCCACGTTGGGCTCGGCAGCCTCCACCTCCGGCTCGGCAGCCTCCACCTCCGGCTCCGCGGCCTCCACATTTGATCCCTGGATCCGCAGAACTTCCCTTGGAACGAGGACGTTGGCTTCAACTTCCTGGGCGGCTGCTGCTGCTTCCTCTTCCTCGAGGTGCAGCTTCTGATGCTTCGTGAGGACTGTGTTGTGGATGAAGGACTTGCCACAGTCCTTGCACTCATAGAAGGGTGAATCTCTCTTGGGGGGCTCGGTGAGGAAGGAGGTGTGGACGAAGGTGGCCCCATAGTCGTAGGGCTTGTCCTTCTCGTGAATCCTCATGTGTTCCTGGAGGTCTGCCTGGCTGGGGAAGGACTCTCCACAGGTCGCACACTCATAGTGCTTGTCCTTGGCCTGGTCTCTCTGAAGGTCTGTGGGGGCCGAGCCTGGGCTGACCACGTCTGTGCTTCCCTGGCCCTGCTCCAGCAGGCTGTCTCCAGGGTGGACTCTCATGTGTTCGTTAAGGACAGAGCCGTGGATGAAGTCTCGTCCGCATACTTGGCATTGCAGGGACGTCCCAGCAGGAGGACTCTTCTGTGGGGCCCGAGGCCGCTGTGGGCTAATGACCAAGGGCTGCATAAAGGGCTCATCATACCTCCTGTGGCCGTAAAACTGGTCTTGCTCATGGATTTTCTGATGCTCGAAAAGGAATGAGCTATGAACGAAAGATTCCCCACATGCCGGGCACTCATAGAGCTGCTCTCCAATGTAATCTTTCTGATACTCACTGACAGAATGGGTGTGCATCACAGAATGCGCGTACTCGCGGCTGTCGATGAGGTACTCTCTGCCGTGAACCTTCTGATGGTCCTTGAGGTCTGTGCGATCCACAAAGCCCAGCCCGCAGTCCTTACACCCATAGATGGTGTCTTCAGGCTCATCCGGCTCGTCTGGCCCTTCCTGCCGAGGCTCTTCCTTTCGAGGTCCATCAAGGCCCACACCCTGAATCACAGAGTCTCCAAACAGCTCCCCACCATGGAATTTCTCTCGGGCATAGATTTTCTGATGTATGCCAAGGTCTTCAACAGTGGCAAAACACTCCCCACACTCCTTACATTCATTGCGGACTGGCTGTTCAGCATAACTGGTCTGAGCTGGTGGTTCAGCGTAACTGGTCTGAGCTGGTGGTTCAGGGTAACTGGTCTGAGCTGGTGGTTCAGCGTAACTGGTCTGAGCTGGTGGTTCAGCGTAACTGGTCTGAGCTGGTGGGTCAGCATAACTGGTCTGAGCTGGTGGGTCAGCGTAACTGGTCTGAGCTGGTGGGTCAGGGTAACTGGTCTGAGCTGGTGGTTCAGTGTAACTGGTCTGAGCTGGTGGGTCAGGGTAACTGGTCTGAGCTGGTGGTTCAGCAAAACTGGTTTGAGCTGGTGGTTCAGAGTAACTGGTCTGAGATGGTGGCTCAGCATAACTGGTCTGAGCATGCGGTTCAGCATAACTGGTCTGAGATGGTGGTCCTGCATAAGCTGTCTGCACTGACTGGTCCACGTAACTGGTCTGAGCTGGCTCTTCAGCATAACTCATCTGTGCTGACTGGCCTGCATAACTGGTCTGAGGGTCCGTGGAGGCTAAGCTGCGAATGACAGATCTTATGTAGTTTTCACTTCCAGAGGGCTTCTTTCTATCGTGAATCTTCTGATGCTCAGTGAGGTCGGAGCTATGGACAAAGGACTCTTCACACTCTGGACATTCGTAAACCTTCTCCCTCGGGCGAAATGCCTGAGGCTCACCAAAGCGCAGGGGACGGCTTACAGAGGTCTCAGGAATCCTGCGCTCGACGTTCTTCCTCTTGGCACGAGCCTTCTGATGCTCGCGCACGTCTGACTTGGGGACACACGGTTCCCCGTCCTCCTTCCACCCACCGGGGCCCTCCCCAGCGGGACTGTCCCGAGGTGCGGTGTGGGACGCACCGTGCACAACAGAGCCCTTGAAGATGTCGTTCTTACCCCCTGCATAGGGGCTCCCTTGGGCAGGGGTCTTCTGCGGCTGGCCACAAGGGTCTAAGAGGTAAGCGGAGGACTCCCGCTGCTCGTCACAGCCAAGGAGCTCATTTCCACCGTGACCACGGGGAGGCCTGAAAGCAGCTAGGCTGTGGATGACGGACCTCTCATATCCCTTTCTTTCAGAGGTACTCTCCCCAGCGTGGACTTTCCAATGTTCGGTGGCACCCGAGCTCTGAACGGTCGCCTCTGCTATCACTCTCGGTTTGCTGTGACTTTTCTGAGCCCCAGGGAAGGCTGAGCTGTGAATGAAAGACCTCTCATAAGGGCCCCTCTCATAGGACAGGGCTTCCCGGCTGTCATCAGGATTGGAGCTGACAGTGAATGCCTTCTCGTCTTCCTCGTCCTCAGGTGGCCTTGTTATAGTGTGACTCTTCTGAGATTCGGGGAAGGACACACTGTGAATGACAGACTTCTCGTACCCCCGGCCTTCAAAGAGGTTCTTCCGAGAATGAATTTTCTGATGCTCGATGAGGTCTGAGTTTTGCCTAAAGGCATCCCCACCATCTTTGAAGTCGTAGGCCTTCTCTGTTGGGTAGGTTTTCTGGCGTCTTTTAAGGGACTGACCAGGAATGAAGGTTTCCTCACACACTTTGCCCTTGTTTTCAAATGGGTTTCCTCGGGTGTGGATCTTGTGGTGCTCTTTCAGGGATGCGCTGTGATGAAAGGTCTCCCCGCACACCTTGCACTCGTACATTTTCTCTTTCCCATACATATTCTGAAGCTCGTTAAGCGCTGGGCTGGGTTTGAAGGCTTCCCCACGCTCACTACCTTTGTCATCTCGGCCATGGGTTTTCTGGTGCTCGATCAGGGCAGAACTATGAAGGAAGGTTTCCTTGCACACCCTGCATTCATAGAATTTGTCCTTCCCGTATATCTTCTGGAGCTCCCTGAAGGTTGGGCTGGGCATGAAGGGCTCCTCGTACTCCTCGTCTTTACACCCCGCAAGGCAATCTCTAGCATGAATTTTCCGATGCTCGGCCAGGGCAGCGCTCTTATTGAAGGGTTCCCCACACTCCTTACATTCAAAGCGTTTCCCTCCGGCCTGCCTTTTCTGAACCTCACTGACGGCCACACTATGAAGAAAGGACTCGCCGTACTCGTACAGATTCTCCCTGGTGTGTGTGATCTGATGCTCTACAAACCCCGAAATCACGCTGAAGGACCTCCCGCACTCATCACACACATAGGGCGTCGCCCCAAAGTCGAAGGGCTGCGACTGGGGGACGGGCGGCGCACTAAGGCTGCTCCCGCTCGCGGCCTTCCTCACCTCGCCGCGCTCAAAGGGCCGCTTCCTTGCACCACCTCTCCGACCGTGCATGGAGCCCTTCCCGTCTGTGTCAAAATGATAGCGCCTTTTTCTCTCAAGAACTCTCTTTCTGGAAACAAGGTTTGAGTTCAAATTAAAGCCTCCTCCCCCAAAGGCATTCCCTTCATGGCCCCTCTCCTGAATCACTGACTCCCTCTTGTTGAATGGAACTTCCTTCCAGTCACTGTCTGGCCTCCTGGGGAACCTCTGCAGCCGATCGCTAGGTTCCCTTGCCCTTCCCGATTTGGAGTTGCGCGAAACGTCCTTGATGAACTTTTCCATTATCACCCCGTGGGAAGATTCATCTTCACAGATCCCCCGCCGATGGGCTGACTTTTTGGTTTCAGGCATAGTTTTCAGACCTGAAAAGAAATCCCAAATGTAAGTGTTCCCTCGTCCCTGTACTTGTGCAAAGTAACACTGGGACCTCCGTGATGGTGGTGTGAAGATAAACTGTAAAATGCTTGTATTTTTGTGCATCAATTGTGTATCATCATGTATCAGTGTGTACGGACGGCTCCCATCTCACTGGTGCAAGCGCCACTCCGCAGGGCCTTGCGTGCTCACCTCGGCTGGTGCTCGGGTAGGCACTTCTCTTTGACCGTGACGAGTGGCCCTGGGTCATGTGCGAGTGGCCGTCGTCCTCGGCAAGCTGAACCCCTGTCCACAGGAAGAACACAACATCTCACACTCGAGTTGGGGACCAAGACTCATCACCATAAATGATGTCTGTCTTTCTCTCAGCCACAAAGTGTGAAGGGGCCCATATCCAAGCCCTACCATATCTTCTGTCTGCAGTCTCATTTCCTTATTATTCATTCCTTAGCCTCTGCTGGTCTGAATTTTAGTTAATTCTCCTGACTCCACCTAGAAGTTTGTACAAAGACCTCCGAGTGCCTTCTAAATTTAGTGCATTCTTTTCAGTCTTCCCCTTCTCGTAACCACCTCCTCAGTCCTGACATCCTTTCACTGGGCTTCCTGGCTCTCCTCCTACTCATGCCTGTTTTCCCCACCTGGTCTCCAAACACGGGAGCTCCTCAAGGCTCCACTGCCCACACAACACTCCTGCAGAACCAACCGCCTACTAGGACCTGAGCCAGATGTCTTCCAGGGGAATCCAAACTGGAACTTGGGACCCCATCTGAAATGAGTATTTAAGTTTCCAGGGTCAGCACTCTTGGGGGCAAGAGTTGTCTCCTGGGCTCCCTGACCCCACACTATACATTCTTCCCCCAAAGCCAGAGGATTCGTAAAACACAGCCTCATCGTTTATGCCTCTGCTGGGAGCCGCTTGAGGGCCTCTGACCCCTCGAGTCCACACACACTGCGGACCCTGACTCCGTGCAGCAGCCTGAGGGGCCAGGCCAGGAGCGCAGCGCTCACCCAGCGAGAGCAGCTTCCGGTAGTTCTCCATGTTGTCCTGAACCGGGTTCTGGGGCTTCCGGTCCTCAGTGAGGGCCACCACATCCTGGTACGACACCGCATCCTGCAACAGCAAATGCACACCTCTCCTCAGTGGAGTCCACTCCCGCGGGCGACAAGGACAGGACAACGCTGGCGGCATGGGAGCCACACACACACATGCGCACACGGTGTGCAGCAAGTGCTCACACCACTTGGGGTTCCAAATGATCCAAGTTAGGTTCTACCAGGGACCTACTTGGCACCTACCTTGGTGCTACACTCTGAGGAAGCTCCCAAAGACATAGGACACATATTCCTTGCCCTCATGCAGCTTATCATTTGTTCGGAGAGAAACAATCAGAGAAGAGTAAACAACAAAGTGGGGTGCAGAGAGTCAGCGCTAAGCGGCTTTAGCGGGGGGACAGCTCAGGGTGGGCTGAGACGGTGAGCAAAGACTGCAGAGGCCGTGGGTGGGGTGGTAAGTGGTGGTGGGACTCTGGCCCGGACAGGGGTGGGGGGGGGCAGTGGGAGGCTTCAACAGGCTCAGTGTCAACTGCACACAGCGTTTCCAGACGCCTGGTCAGCAGAGTGACCAGCTTCCATCCCCAGGCCCGCTGTGTCCTGTGTCCACCTCCGCCGTACACTGTGGCTACTCTGTGGGCCCTTCTGGGTATGGACAAGTTCCGAAGAACCCGGGGGTAACCTTAAGCACAGAGCACCTTCCTCTCCCAGCTGCCTTTTCTGCTTTGATGCACTGTCCCCTGCAAAGCATCTTAGGAGTCCCCACATCACGCGGGACAGCCTCCTGCACAGGACCTCACAGGATCTGTTCTCACTGCTGCACTAGAACGTCACTAGTTTCGGGGAGTCGTAGTCCCAGGGATCCTGGAGACAGACTTAAGGAGCGAGGTGGAGCCGTGGGAAGCCTGCAGGCTGTGGGGCCAGAGAATACTCCAGGGTCAGAGGAGCTTATGCACCGTTTACGACCAAGCAACCCTGGGAGCAGACGTCTTTCCAAACCTCAGGTCCTTCATCTGTGAAGTGGAGAGAAGGGCATCGGCCTGCCCTGTAGCACTGTGGGAGTGGATGTCCTGCAATGTGATTTGTTGTTTAAGCATGGAGAAAAATCGTGTAAAGGAAATGTAAATTGTTTTCACTACTGAACTATTATGTAAAGATATTTTGATATTAAATTTGCTACAGTTCTGGAAAGTGGCACAGATATGACAGCCATGCACAAATGCAAAAAAAAAAAAGACACAATCAGGTGCATCGCCTACTGAAAAAAATAAACAGGCACTGGGGTTTAAGAGGAAAACCTCATTTGTAATACAACTGCCAACGTGCAGTGATTAAAAAGCAAAAAGCCACCACCAAAACTAAGCAGAACTTCAAAAATGAAAACTCTTACTAGGCCAGGCCTTACGATTTTTAGGACAACACACTACAAAAGATCAGGAAGCACTCACTGCAAAATTGGCTGGTACCACCACCGGCCAGAAAGCTAGACTACACCCTTTCTGGTGGGAGCCCATCTCCTCCTGTCAGAGGGCGGCTCCCCAGAGTGGGCACCCCGCTGTGCTCGGGGGGTGATAGTGCCTCCATCCTAAGGCCTCAGCCCTGGATTATTGCAAAGCAGGAGAAGCCCGCTGGGAGCACAGATGTATTTGTGGTGGGAGAGGGAGGGAACCAGAATTCCTAACTTGCGGGCTGCCAGAGAGCAGATGAGGTCAAAAACCCGGGGGGCTGAGGGTGCCAGAAGGGCACCATCCCTGGTGCTAACAGACCCCAAAGGGCAATGGCAAAAGGGAAGGGGCATTTTTTCATATATTTCTCTCCGTTTGCCTAATCTGAGTAACATAAATGTAATGTATGTTAAATTTTGGACTACGTTGTTGCTTGGAAAGAAAAATGCTGCTTTGACTTAAATTAAGTTGACCTATTCAAGTGGGTAGCCCTAAGCAGTTGTTCTCTTCGTATCTGTGATCAACCACGGATCTAAGGTGGCACAAGCCGCCGCCGCGTTCCCTGTGACAGATGCTGTCCAGAGAACAGCACCCACACTGCTGCATCCTCACATGACCTACACACACAAACAATGCATGCTGAAGGAAGATGAGAACTTTGTTTGTTATTTCTATGACACCAAGGTAGGAGGAACCAGTGGCTCCCAGACCTCTGGACCACACACAGGGGACCAATGCTTTCCAGTAGCGAGGATGGGCATTTGAAAAGCAAAATAAGACACAATCCCACTGCCAATCTGCTATCACCTTCATTTCATAAGAGTACTTTCACACCCCCAAATAAGGACACCCGCAGTTCCTGTTTTCCCTGAAGATGAGTGAACGCTTGGTCCCAGGCTCACAGAGCAGTTAACTGGAAACCACTGACATTCATCACTTCGTGGGGGCAAATGCACACTAAAGAGGTTTCTTCTTCAAAGTTTCTACGATTTAATGTTTTTATCTGGATTCCTAAAATTTGGTCAATTTGGTTTCTCCAAATAAGAAACCAAAATTAGTGACAAACTAAGTGTGTCCCACACATAGGGGCCTCTCCCTGGGACAAGGTCATAATGCACATCTGGAGCACCGGGGGTCACCTCCGACCCTGCCCACCCTCCACATCCCCTCCCTCCCTTCCACATCCCCTCCCCCATCGGTACTGCTGCCTCAGAAGCTCTGCTTTCAGTAACGGGATGCCATCCCCCTCCTTCTCACACACCTGTGCGTTCTGGCTTGCCTCCAGGACACAGGACAAATGACAAGAGTTTTCGGGGTAGAATTCAGAGCCCTCTGTCACCTGACCCCACCTTTCAAACCGCCACAGGGAGCACCGTTACCGCATCTCGGGGCACTGGGGACAGACTGCACCTCTGCCCTTGCATTCCACCCACTCTGGCTTTCATCTGGTGCCGCTCCGGGGCTTGCGCCGGGCTCTCCTGAACACCTGGGATCCCCCGCCCCAGGGGGCACGTGGCCAGCTGCTCCTGTCCCTGTGACAGTCCGCTACACTGGCTCAAGAGCGAGCTGGACAGCCAGCGTCAGGCACACTATCTCCCTCTACAGAGACTCCCCGCATGCTTGCTGAACACCCTCCTGTTACAAGACAGGAGGCTCCCAGGACGGGTCCCGCCAGGTCACCACCATGCACCCAGGGCCACGGGCCCCGCACCCTCCTCCACGCTGCCGTGTCACACGTGACCCTCTCTCTCAAGGCCCATCTTCCCTGCACCCACAGCCAGCGATGCCCACAGCGCCTCCCTCGTGCCAGGCATCACACTGCGCCCTTTGTATCTCCGTGTGACGCTCACCCATTCCTCACAACAGCCCGCCCACATCACAGATGAGGAAACCGAGGCTCGGCTTCGTTAATGGTCTGAGGCTGCACAGCTAGCAGGTGGCAGAGCCAGGCTCCAGACCCAGCTCTTCCTGGCCCCGGGGCCTTCTGCTCTCCCCGTAAGTCTGCTCTGTGGATGTGCAACTTTCCTGCCTCCCTACTGAGGACCAGAAACACCTGCAGGGTCGATGGGCTTCCCTGGCCCAGGAGGAACAGCTGCTGCGGACGACCCACCACGTGACACAAACGCTGAGCGGAAAAGCGCTCCTCTGACCCCGTGGATGAACCAGAAAACAGGCAGCAGTTCCCCAGCCACCAGTCACCCTTGGGGACAGGACAGGCTCCTGGGGAGTCGCTGGGGCTCTCCCCAACCCAGGTAGGATTCTAGCGGGCAGATAACTCAGCCTCTCAGGAAAGAAAGGCAGCTCTGCCATGAAATGAAGACAGCCTCCCCAGAATGAGTGGAGACCTAAGCATACCTGCGATTTCGTCTCGTAATCCATCACAGAGTCCCGACGTTTGTGCTCTCTTTCCTTTGCAAAAGCCACTTTCTCCATCAGAGGAAGGGAAAGATCCCGCTGATGAAACCCTGGAAGACAACAGGCGTCATGAGGGAACAAGGCACAGTCAACCTGGCACGCGCACTGGGGAGCAGTCGGAGGAGGACCTACTGCTCCTGGGGCTCCGGGCGTACGGCCAGCGGGCCCGAGACTCCAGGCCCCTGCCTCTGCCCCTCCGGCGCTCCCGCTCGCGGGCTCGCTCCCAGTCTTGGTCCCAGTCTCGGTCCCAGTCCCGGTCCCAGTCCCGGTCACCTGAGGAAGCAGACATTTCAGGAGCTGACCACGTGCCCTGACACGAGTGCGCTCACTTCACGTGCACATACCCCTCTGGAAGGGATGCTAGGAGACGGATCCCGAACCGGGGTCCCAAGTGCAACCCGACACCCGGGCCCCAGACCACTGTTTCTGGGGGCCTCGCCTAGGTGGGCCTGGTCTCAGTCAGGGCCAATGCTGAGCTGAGGAGCTGGTTCCCCCTTCAGGTTCTCCTGGTCTCCCAACTCCCACGTGGTCAGGTCCACGTTCGGGAGGACAGACTTCAGACCCTCCACCGCCTCGCTTACCCCGGTCAGTCTTAATGTGCAAGTAACTTTACCCCAAAGAAATGAAACACCCACCTGCCCCAAAAGCAACGCTCCTTCAAAAAGTTCACCGAAGAACCTTTAACAAATAAAACAGCTTTGGAGGCAAAGGGGTGATGAACTCTGCCCCTCCTGGGAGGCTGTGGACACAACCTGAAACAGCCTACTGCAAAATTCACATAGCTTTAAACATTTTCTCTCATCATTAAGAGAAACAGTTGTATTTCACTCCACACACGTGTCTGCTTCGACGTAAGAACGACTCCTTCCATCCTCACTTGATCTCCTTCCCCCTCAGACCTCTGAGCAGCAGCCCTGCCCCAGGGAAGTCCTGCGTAGCCTGGAGGGCGCGGTGACCGGGCTACTCACTGCAGCGGGCTGAGTGTGGCGGCGGGGATGCTGCTGCCTTCCGGCTCACGCTGCCTTCGCTGTGGGCGTCACTGCTGCTGTCGTCTGAGAGGGCACCACACACGACTCAAGGTCTCATCCGTGCTCGCCGGTCCCCTCTAAGTAGCCCCCCCGCCCCGGGTGGCCCCGGCCTCTTGTTGCAGTGGTCAGACCCTCTCGCCCCGCCCTTCCGCCCCTGCTGGGCAGGATCGAGGCTGTGACCCTCCCGATGGCAGCACCAGGTACAACCTGCTGGGGTGCCCCCTGCCCCTGCCCCGCTTCCACAGAGGGGAGCCTGGGCCAGGGCGCGGTGTGTGCAGGCTCCCTTCCAATCAGAGGCCCACGGTCTCCTTCCCTCTCGCATCCTGACCAGGAGGGATTCTGCTCTGCGGGGACACGGGGCACCGGCTCTCATTAGGCTGTCACAGCTGGGGAGGGAGGTGCAACTGGCACGTTGTGGGCAGAAAGGCCGGGAGGCCACCTACGTCCTATGGCAGGGCCGTCCCCCACTCCCCGCGAAGAGGACGATCGGCCTAGAACATCGGGGGCGCTGCGTGGGGCACCCCAGGGAGCTCCGCCTTCCTCTGCCGCTCACCTTCCGGTTCGTACATCTCCTTGTAATTTTCCAGCAGAGTAACGAGCTTCTCGCAGTTCTCTGGCTTTTTCGCACGCACCCAGGGCTTGATCTTCTCTGGAAGGATGGTCAGGTACTGCTCAAGGACCAAGAGCTCGATGATCTCCTCCTTGGTGCGAGTCTCCGGCTGCAGCCAGTCGAGGCAGAGGTTTCGGAGTTGGAGCAGGGTCTTCCGAGGCCCGACACATTCCACGTAGAGGAAGTTCCGAAACCTCTGATGAAAGAATTCAGGGTCAGTGGCGGCTTCTCCTATGGCGGCATCCGGCTCCTGAGGCAAGTCACTGTCTAGCTCACACAGATTTGGGGCCCGAGACCTCTTGGGTTTGGTGGCAGACAAGTACTTTGGAGGCAGCATCTCTCTAAGGAAAATTTTCACTGGAGGAACCCAACATGAGTCAACAGGAAAGACGCGGCAGCCTGGGACAGTCAGTACTCAGGGACCTGCAGATCGTAAGGAGACATACACATGTCCCAGAAGTCGAGGACCAGGCAGCAGTGTGGGGCTGCCCGACAAGGGCACCAACAGTGCTTTGTGAACAGGCCAAGGGCAGAAGAGAGGCATCAAACCCCAACACACAGACACATGCACAGGCAGGCGTTAAAGCACCACACACACCCGTGTGAGGAGTGAGCTCTGCTACTAACTGGTTCTGTGACCCTGGGCCACACAGCCCATGTCCTGCAGTCTGTCCCCTTATCTTCAAAATGGGAGCAACAGACCTACACCCCTTCTAGAACTGTGAGGCTTAAATAAGCCAATACACCTAAAAGGCCTAACCACCCAGCATACAGCACATGGGGATGCCCAAGGTGCTGGCCATTACTAAAATGGGATGTCGGTATTTTTTCTTAGCAAAAACGGAAAGGGGGTCGTGAGGGGCTCAATCCTGCCATTTCTGAGCATTTCTTCCCCTAACATGGTTGTTAAAACAGCATACAACACGTGAAAGGTAGAAGACCACATCAAAATGTTACAAGTGCTCAGCTCTGGGTAATGCGATTGCAAGTGCTCCTAATAATTTCCCTGAACCCGTGCTGCTGTTAAGTTAAAATTCAATGAAATTAAAAGTTCAGCTCCTCTGCCACACCAGCTACATTCCAAGCGCCAGTGGGTATCCTACTGCACAACATGGAACATCTCCCTCGTGGGGGAAAGTTCTATTGGCCAGAGTGGCTGGACAGCATCTGAGTTTGCAGGAAAGCTCAGGACCCCTGAGTCAGCAGTGCCCACCCTTCTGAGGAGCGTCTGCCCCACAGCCCAGCCTTCGGCTCGTGCTAACACCACGTCCTCTGGGAGCCTTCCCGAGACTCACTTCCTCTACTAGTGTTCCAAGCACTTGCTGCATTTAGTCTTAAATATTTGAGCTCACGTGCCTATGCCCCCACTGTAAACTCTGGTAAAGGGATGAGAGACGAGCTTTTCCGTCACTGGAAGAGTCAGGTATCAACACTGATAGAGCAGGTTGAAGACAATGTAGGCAAACCCATTTTAAAATTGGTTTTAGACACAGGCATGCATTCTTACTACAGGCCTGCACAAGCACAGTGCGGTTTCTGGCTTAAGCTCTGCGGCACGGTTTCCAAAAGAACACCCTGGCGTTTCACTTACCCTCACCTGCCCACTTCTCTACCAGCCCCTTGCCAGTATTCCTGACACACAGGCATGGGAAGCACTGTGCGGTATGTGTGGAGCTCTTACAGCGCTGCCTAGCACAGAGCGGGAAGGTTGAATGATGTACCAGTGAACCCGCAGAAACCCTACACAGGTGATAAACACCTGTTACTCACATCAATGGTGAGAATGTGATCAAGTGACCATCAGGCTTCTTCACACCCCTGCACATCCTCCTGCTTTTATCAATCTTGTCAAATATCTAGCTTGCCTCCACAGAACCAGCTTTCTACTTTGATAATCCTCTGTATCATTTATTTCCTTACTTGTCTTTATTTTAGTATCTGCCCCCTCCCTTCTTAAGAAAACTTTTTAGACCCAGTATAAAAGCTGATTTTCCATTTTCCTTTTGTTCTAACGTAACCAACTAAGGCTATACGTTTCCCTTCACCTAAACCATTTTAGTTGCATGTGGTTTCTATTATGTAGCCTTGTTATTAGTGGTCAGCCACAACTGGAGCAAGAAAGTAGGCAATACAGGAAAGAAATCTAGGTTTGGGTGAATTAACTTACCTGACAGTTTTGTACTTCTGGCTTTACTTCCAGAGAAGAACAAAACCACATGCAGCAAAAATTCTTTTTTGTTTTAAAAGGAAAAACCAGTAAGTTAAAAAGAATTTTTTTTTTAATGTCTAAAGAGAAAACAAAAGGTGTTTCAATTATTCAGTCTCAAAGTAGCCTTCATCATTTGGGCATGAATGCAGGGGACTCTCTCCAGACAGTGGTAGGCTCCGCTCCGCCCCGTGTAAACTGCCCTCCCACTCTCTCTGCATCGTCCTCTGGAGCTTCAGCACCAACCACAGAGATGCACCTCCATTCGGAGACCCTGGAGACCCTGCCACTCCCGCCCTGCCTGCCCTGCCCTCCTCGATGACAGACAGGACACTAGATAACACCCTGCTGGGCAGGGGAAAGAAAGGGCAAGCATCCAGGCTCTGGAGAGCTGGTGAGACAGCTGGGACAAGAGAACACAGTCGAGTTTACCCAGCAACTAGCTAAGAGGGACTGCCCTGACAAGAGCAGGGCCCTCAAAAGCCAGCAGGCCTGTGTGGGACAGAGGGGCGGGCAGGGAGCCCAAGCCTGCTCTGTGGCATCCAATTCCAGAGAGAACTCCAGTCCCCTAGATGACAGCAGCCCCACCTCTCAGAGGCCACAGGACACCCTTGGGTATGTAAATCACCTGTTTGGGAATAGGATCCTTTCTGGAACTTCAGAACAAGTGTTCTTATCCACAGGAACAGAGTCAAAATGCCAGGGACCTGCAGATATTTTAAAGAAATACATGGACAAATAAACATGGAAGAAATGTAAAGAGTGTCAGAGAATTCACTCTCCAAATGGCTGTGGACTGAGAGAGCACTGGGAGCGAGGCCTTATATACCATATTCAAGAAAAGGCCCATTCCCACGTCATATAAACCAACCAGAGACAAGAAGCAGAAAGCTTTCAAATTTTCTTTATGAAACCAGAATAATTAAAACATCTAAGACAAAGAGAGCACTAGCAAACTGCAGACCAAACTCACTTATAAAAGCAGACCTAACAGTCTTAACACTATGACTAATGAACATCATTCTACAGAGTTTCAGCCAATTACAAGAAAATCTGGGGCATGAACAAAGAAAGATATAAAATTATCACTCTCTTATGCAAGACCATCCACTCAGATATTGCAAATCAGTGGAAACAGACCTTATAATAGTAATAATAGTTTAGTAAGAAACCCATTTATAACAGACTCCCTAAATATGTACCGACAATAACCAATCTGAAAAAATGGGAAGAACTCCATTGTAAAAATACAAAAGATTTAACAGAAGAAGACAGCAGCCATAGGAACAAACTTATACATTATATTGCAATAGAAAAGGCAATAACCAGAGAGACACAGATAATCATGGGAGATATACGGATCTAGCATATGAAAGCTCTAAATACCCCCAATACTACCTACACTACCTAGTGGAATTTCAAAGAATATAAATGTTGGGGAACTTGACAATGGTTCTAAAGTTGAACTGGAAGAACTTCACTTGGATCAATATTTTGAAAGTTCATACATCAAAAGGCCAACAAACCACACACAAAGAAGAAGTATCTTAATATAATCTCAGGGTTAAGAAAGTTCTTTTCTAGTATGATGCCTAAAGGCAGGAAGACGACATAAAAGTAACAAATGATGTTCTTGTCTATACCACCAAAGCCAAAGCAATAATAAATCAACCACCTAAAAAAACACCAGAAAAGACAAAAAGACTGATTCACTTAAGAATTGTAATATAAGTTTACTGTATGTACACAACTGAGTATGTAGAACTCTATGAAAGTGGCATTAAAAAATAGTAAGGAATGTATATAGATTACTTCAATAAATAATAACGGTAATAGGAGATCTAGCCAATCATTCACTTGGGGAAAGAGGTCACAACATATATGAAAATGCTAAAACTAAAATCAAAATAAAATAAATAAAAGATTAATTTTTATAATCCTGGAGCAGGGACGGGATCTTCTAACCTGACAATAAAATTGGGAAACAGGGACAACTTTGACTTTGTATACATACTTCTCTAATCACATTAATTTTTCTTCCCACTAGGCATGTTGTTGAAGCATACAGCACCAGTAGGTAAAAACTATACTTAAGAACTGTAGGCTTAAAAAGTTTGATAAGGAAGCAACAATTTTGCTAAGAAAATATAAATATTTGGTAAACCTGACTCAGGAAGCAGAGGAAAATCCAGGGAAGAAATTTAAAAAGATGAAATGACCGAAGGAGCAACTTCCCATAAAATTTCCATGAGCGAAGTATTTACCGTGTTATAAAAACCCTTCCAGAGCACAGAAAAGAGACGGAGGACTTCCTGCTCATTGATAATAGGACCATGTGAACACCCATAAATATCCTGTCACAAGGTAGATGCCAACTTGTATGCCGAAAATTCACCTATTCCTTTTCTCAATTCAAATTCAGGACTAGAGTCAACAAATGTGATCTTTGTTAAACGTGCTCAAGATTTTCTGACCAGGCCAACGAAACAGCCCTTGGTCCGCAAGGGCGTTGAAAAAGAAAAGATTTTTAATAGAAAAACCTGAAAAACAGTTGGACCTTACCTACTCCTTCCCACAATGGCAGAGGAAATTCATTTGAGAGTCAGAAAGGGCCTTGGGAACAGAATAATCATAAAGATACGATAACATATATATTGTGTGAAGAAAAAACTGGCATACACATATCCTGCAAATTTTATAAAGGGCAAATTGGTTACTTATCACAATTAAAAAATGTAATATCCTGTCCTATCAACTCTACTATGAATTTATCCCAGAGATATGTAATGACATATGTGCAGGAATATATTCATTGAAGTACCATTATGACAACGGGCAAAATATGTTTGTTTATAGTATGATTACGACACCTTTTAAAATAATGAGGCAATTGTAAATAAATGGATATGAGACGACCTCTAAGGTAGTTAAGTGCAAAATGGGACACACCAATGTGCATAGCATTCTAAGGAATTATAAAAACAGATGTCATTTACTTAGACGATTTCTGGAAGGACACAGAAGAGACTGTTAATAGTGGTTGCCCCTGGGGAAGGGAACTGGGGGCCAGGGAAGGAAGGGCGACTTAACTTTTTCATTGTATAATTCCCCTTTTGTTTTTTATTTTATCA